GCTACGTTCATCTGTAAAGCTGTTTGAGTGTTACTAGGATTATTTTTTGAAAATCTCATTATCAAATTTTTCAGCTGATTAGTTCTCTCTGTATAGTATTGTTTCCCCGTGTTTCTTCAGGTATTTTGAGCGAATTCTTACCGTATATTTAAGTTGTCCTTTTCACGCACAACATAGCGGGTCGCACTATACACAGGTATTTTTAAAGTCGTTAAAAGAATTCATTTTGGATGACCTGTTGCATTATACAGAGACGAAACCTTTCTGGAGCAGTTAAAAGTTCAAGCACAAATATTGGGTTCGCACTATACATAAATTCATATTATACACGAGTATATACAACAAATTGCTTTCGAAAACCTCCGTGTTTAATTCTCTATTTTAGTTTTCTATTTTAGTTTATTAAATCAAGATCATATCATTTGTTTTGTTTATTTCTGTCCAGTGACGATGAATTTAAATCAGGTTCGTTTTATCTCTTATTTCCATGAGGTCTGTTTTTTCAGAAGTACTTGATATACATGCATACACCTACATCTCTGCACCGGACGTAATCTTGCACTGCTGTAAGTTTGATAAAACACTACAGACGAAAGTTTTGAATTTAAATGTTTTTCGTGATCTATTTTTAATAACGAAAGGACAAATCGCTGAATAAGATGAATAAAATATTGTCTAAAAGTTTGTGTTGTAATTGCAACCAGATTTGTATATATTATCAAGATCATGAATTATAAAGGATGTTATTCGTTTTGTTTGTTGTTTTGTGTTGGGTTGTTTTGTGTGCGTGTTGTGAGATCGTTGTTGTGCTTGTTAGGGACAGGAATGGTGGGGGGTGACTTGGTCTTGTTTGGAATCCTTTTTCAAACTCGCCAAATGAAGATGTCATGCACGAGGTGCATTTAAATTTATTTAACTGACACATTTAGCCCACTGAAAAATGTTCGACATATGTCTATGAATTATGAGATATATTTGGCTTTATTTTCAATTAATCTTCACAGTTAAGAATATACAACTCTCAAACTATAATAAAATAAGCTGTATGTATATATGTGTCTTTTTCATTTATCTGATTCTTATTATATATGCCAATTCACAGACCTGTATTCCAATATATTTATTTGTCATATTTTCCTCCGTCTTTGACTATGATCGGAAGAGAGATAAATAAAAGCAATCATTTTATGTGAAAAAAGCTCTGGATGCGAAGTCTAGTCTCCCGGCGATTTTTTTCAAGGATGCGTAATAAAAGGTACAAAAAGAATGAAACTGATAATTTTTAGAGAGAATCCGCTTGGATCTCTGTTTATCAACAGTAAATGTCTAGATTGTACATTCGTTAGAAAAATGCGGAGATTATTCTGGGTTTGGGCTCGTTTACCAAACTTAGAATCGAATTCGTTAGCGATCGTTTGGACAATAATTGTTCTATCTCTTTCTAGTTGACATTGATTGAATTTAATGTAGCCTAGTTGCAATCTGAGAAACTGTCGTCGACTTTGGCAAGCTTGATAATCTGACTTATCGTTTCTTGTGGTGTTCGCTCGATCTTTGGTCTTAAATTATTTGAAACCTTTAAAAAAAAAAAAACTGATATGACCCGGAAAGTGATATTTGTTCGAAGTAGCAAAGGGTTTTTGGTCTACTGTAACCGAGTAGGACAATCTATCAGGTAACCGTAATGGCCTGGTCCTCGTCGTAGTGGTAGGCAATAGGCGTAAGCAATAGGCGTCGTCATGTACCTCCACATCAGTCTGTATTTATGGCTGACACCATCCAATCATATTACTGAGAAGGGGAACCAAGGTGTATGCATATCCATTATATCAAAAAAACCTGGCACAAATCCCAATAAAGCTACATTACTCAAGAGAGCAAATTGTAAAAAAGGATTTCGGAGAATATGAGAGTAATGGAATTCACTTATATCTTATAGTATATCACTCTCCTATTGTAGCTGTTAAGTTTACCCGGTTCGGTAATATACCCATGCACAGAGTTCGGACCGCTAATACTGTTTCACGATCTCGTCTTTTAAGATAATACATGTATTATAAATATTACATATAAATAAATATAAACTGTTTTTTCCTAATCATATTTTCTATACAACACGTTTTTGTACAGAATTCTTTTTTTTTTTTCATTTACACGCACACACATATATATATATATATATATATATATATATATATATATATATATATATATATATATATATAGTGCCTGTCCTCAAGGACACATGGCACAGTGGATAAAGGCGTCAGTTAAATCCAGTGACAGGGCCCAAAGATTGTGCCTTCAATACCTGGTTAAGGCAGTGGAGAATGTGAAGAGGGAAATTAACAGGAGATAACTGATAACTGACATCCATTAGACATTTAACTTGGTACTAGAACAGTCTACCCTAGTGAGTGAAATAAAGGATTAAGTTCGACATTCCAACCACCTGAAGGGGGCCGGAGCGTACAACGGCTGAAACGTTGTAATAAATATGGCGACAAAGATGAGGACAATAGTCCGAATAATGTAAACAACGTAAAAATTACCTCATCTCAGAAATATTAGACAGATACTGAAGTAATGGATTCTTTTTAAATCCGACTCATTTTAAATGTTTAAGCACATCTGAAGATACAGTCTTTTTTTTCCTTTATTTCAAGTGTTTATTTCGACTAGCGCACCGTGGAAAACGAATATGTATAGTTGGAAAATAATTCAAAATTTAAATATCACAAGACCAAATGCACTATGCTAATTATCTATAGTCAGGAAAGGAAATGTAGTTCATAATTTCACGAATGAATCTTTTCGACTTAAGTGCAAAAGAGAAGGCAAAGATTATAACCTTTTCGCCTGTTTCACATTTGTGCCGATAGGCTTTTCCCTCCAGGAAAATTGTGGCAATTTTTCCAGTAAAAACAAGTAGTAGACATGTTTTATCTTAATAAAAATCAGCAACATATACAACTGAATGATCAATAAATGTAATATGCAAGTAAGTGTATTAGGATATTATAATAACTTAACCGAGTATAAAATATATCACAACATGGATATACACATCGGGCTCACAGTTGTTGAAATATTCATATCTCGGAAGTAAATATGGAAATTTCTTTTGCTGATGAGGCTGCCATTTTGATACAAGTTATCTTGTCCATGACACTAAACCGACAACTTCCTTGAATGTGTTATCTCACTCGGGATATTAAATGACGACTTGCTAAGAGTTATTACCCCATGTGGCAATGAGCAGGTAAATAACCTAGAAAGCTTTTCATAAAGATTAACTTGTGTTCAAACTAAAAGCACTTTGCTTTATCTTTCTTTCTTCTATATTTATATTCGCCATGTCATGTGACCTCAGATAACCAAATGAAAATATTCTAGCTTCTTTAATCATGTTCCATCTATTTTTTCCCGTTCTTTACTATTTGTTCATATATTCTCGTTATCTTCAAGTTTGGCTTTCTTCCTTGTCTGTCTGTCTTTTTCCTATTTACCCTCTCCTTTTATTATTCTTTCTCTAATTACAGTTCTTTTTTTTTTCATCTTTTTCTTGTTCTCTGTTTTTTTTTTTTTTTTTTTTTTTTCAAATTCTTTTTATTTCCTCTACCGTTTTTTCCATCGTGTTTTCCCGCCCCACATTTTTTCTCCTCTTGTTTACTTTTTCGCCTTGTTTACTCCCCACCCTGCTTTTACTACCCCCTTTGTTTACCCCCCTGCTTTACTCCCCCTTTGTTTACTCCCCCCGGTTTACTTTCCCCCTTTGTTTACTTTTCCGTCTGCTGTCATGGTTTTTTCTCTGCTGTTATTGTTTTCCCTGTTTTTTTCTTATGTTATTTTAATTGTTTGTTTTTCCTCTGTTCTGTGTTTTTTGTTTTTTGTTTTTGTTTGTTTTTTTGTTTGTTTTTTTGTTTCTTTTTTGTTTCTTTTTTGTTTCTTTTTTTGCTTCTTTTTTTGCTTGTTTGTTTTTTTAAGGTTTTTTGTTTTTTGTTTGTTTTTGTATGTTTTTGTTTGTTTGTTTTTTGTTTGTTTTCTCTTCTGTATTTTTTGTTTCCCCCCTTTCTGTGTGTTTTTCCCCTGCTTCTGTTTTGTGCTTTCTCCCACACACTGCTCATTTTCCCCTCTGGTCCCCCCTCTTCTTTCAAACAGTATCCTCGTCTTTGTTTTTTCTCGTTATTTTCTTTTCTTCGTTGTTAATTCCAGTCTTGTTTGTTTTCTCTTCATTTTTCACTTTATTACTTTCTACGTTACCTAATTAGTAGGTTTTTTTTTTCTTTATTCATTTTATTCACTTATGTTCTCTTGCCATATATGTCCATACTTTCTTTCAATTATACTATTTGCTGATATAATTTCTAATTCCTCACTCACATTCTTCCTACTTTTGCATTCCTCATCTATTCTTTACTTCTTTTACTCTCTCCTGTTCATTTTTCTTCTCCGTGTATATTTTTACATGTTTTGTTTCCTTCTAATTTTCCTTATCCCTCATCTTCCATATTGTTTCGCCATACTTTATTAATTTAAATGAAAGAAAAACGAAAGTAAAAGAGAACATCAATTTAGTAAAGAATGGACATAATAAACCATTTCATTTTCTTTCTGATGTAGTCTTTTTCGTTTACTTGTGACCAAACAGCTTTTCCATTGTTATCCTTCTATTTAATGCATCCTTCCATTTTTTTTTTTTTTTTTTTTTTTTCACTCATGTCATCTTCATTCGGGGACCGCGTCATCTGGTTATTAAGGTTTAAACGACAATAAAACATTTGCGAAAAATATTTGAGGTTGTATTTTTATTTCTATTCTTCAGGATTTTAAGCTGAATTTATTAAACTTTTGATTTTGGTTTAAATATTATTACAAATATTCCATGTAAAATGTAGGACTGAAATCTGGAAAAGCTAGCAATTATTCCAGGGGAAAAATGAATATTCAAAGGGAAATTTGATAGCTTTCCATTAATGAACAGAAGGAACACATGTGAGTTAGGGTGGAAGGGAAAAAAAGCAACAAGGAGGGGATGGATGAATGGGGGACAGGCGAAGAATTTTGGAGGGCTGAGCGAAATGGGAACAGACGGAGAATGTCGGAAATCTACTAGGCGAAATGGGAACTGAGGGAGAATGTCGGAGGTCTGGGCGAAATGGGAACTGAGGGAGAATGTCGGAGGTCTGGGCGAAATGGGAACTGAGGGAGAATGTCGGAGGTCTGGGCGAAATGGGAACTGAGGGAGAATGTCGGAGGTCTGGGCGAAATGGGAACTGAGGGAGAATGTCGGAGGTCTGGGCGAAATGGGAACTGAGGGAGAATGTCGGAGGTCTGGGCTGAGGAGAATGTGGGAACTGAGGGAGGGAGAATGTCGGAGGTCTGGGCGAAATGGGAATGGGAATGGGAGAAATGGGGAGCTGAGGGAGAATGTCGGAGGTCTGGGCGAAATGGGAACTGAGGGAGAATGTCGGAGGTCTGGGCGAAATGGGAGCTGAGGGAGAATGTCGGAGGTCTGGGCGAAATGGCAACTGACGGAGACATTATCTGAAATGATAATAAAATAAGATGCCAGAAAATAAAATACAAACTGGCAACAGAAAACATCGAATAAAAACTTATGTAAAACAGGTAGCTATGAAAGATGCAACTATTTTTGTAAAATATGATAAAAATAAGAACCTGTCCAAAAAAATAAGTATAATGTAGAATACATTAAATCTATGTTGTAGTGAATAAAAGTGTGGCCAGGAAAAAGAAAACGAAGAACAAGAAGTATACGATCCATACTGAAGGAGGTACTAAGACAAATGTCAAGATGAAATTACATGAAAAATAGAATAAAGTAATGAAAGATAACTAAAAGAAGATTATTTATAAAAGAAGAAAATAATGAACAGAAGCGATGAGGGTGTTGAAATGATTTATAATGACCAATTGTTATCGAAACAATACCTTGAAAGATATCACCAAACTCGTGTGCATAAGCCGCAATAAAAACAAGGTAACAATAGATCATCTAGTGAATAGATGCTGAGAACTGGCCACAACAAAATACCTAGAAAGTATAACAAAGCAAGAGCACACTTCAACCTATATATCTATAAGCATTATGACATCAAGGCCAAATAATCTGAGGATGTGTCACATGTAAGAGAAAACTAGGAAGCAACTATTCTATTGAATCTGCCAATCCAAACTGAGAAAGAAAAGATAAGAGTTGATATAGTAGTGAAGGACAATATGAAAATAACATGTCTGCTCAGCGACATGTTTCTCGACACCGAACGAATCACTTCCCAGAGAACCACAGAATATCTCTCAAAATATAAATATCCGGAAATTGAAATTGTGAGCATGAACATCACAATAGAAGTGATAAGTACTCGTGGTCTAGTCTAGAGAGTAGAAAAACACATAAAAAATTCCTGGTAACTTTAAGAAATGTTTTATCCAGAAGATCGTTTTCCTTTGCACTGGTTACACATGCAGGATCATTGTCTATTAAATACATCGCAATCTAATGGTTGAGTTACGCCCAGGAATTAATTCTCTTCCATGAATAAACAAAGCAAGATTTAAAGGAAACGCTAACAACAACAATAGCAGCAGTAGATTCTTCATTTTCTATGTGTCGTGTCTTTTCAAGGACATTGTCGATCATGGTTCTCCACATTTTCCTGTTCTTTGTAGTTCTTAAAATAACTTGTCTTTTTACCCATCTTTCCCAAACCCTGTCCTGCCTTTCATTCGCTCAAGCTCTTAGGTGGGGTATGCGTTGATTTTTCTCTGATCCTTTTCCCTTCATACTGTTCTGTGAGTATCAAATTTTCTAAGCCCTCTTCCCTTAATGTGTATCCAAAGAAATGTCAACTGTGCATGATATGAAGTACAAGTGGTCTTTTTTTTTGTCAATATCTCTAAAACTTTGACTGTGCTCACATGTTCGTTCAATGCTATTCTCAGCATCCTTCTGTTGCTACAATCTGTTATTTATTTATGATAAGGTTGTGCAGTATTCATTGTCAGAGAGGACAACTAAAAATACATAAGAGCTCGGTATTTAATATTTTTTCTGTTTCTTAATACATTTCTCGAAGGCATCATTCTCTATCGCAATGCGCCTTCGGATTTCAGTGTCATATTTTACGCCCTCTCTTAATACGCTAACTTGGTGAACCTGTTTGATTTCGGCATCTCCAATCTGTAACCTGCATTCTGGGCTGTTCCTTTTGGTAACAACTATGTATTAACTCTACTTGCAATTAATGTTTAGTGCCTTATTCTCACTTTGCAGTTCCACCTTCTGTAGTGATTCATGTAGTTTCTTTTCTGTGTCATGATTTACCGAGAAATGTGTACATTAACTGAACATGGTGAGATTATTGACCACTCACCATCTGTTTGTCCAAACCTGACATCGAAGGAACACAAAGATGGACATACCATTGGGCAGTATATTCTTTGGAGAATAGAACAACACATGACAAAGACTGTATAAATTTCACCATGAACCAGTTATAGGAGTTCAGTAGATCTGTTTTTTGGGACTTTGCTATTCCTACTTGAAGATGTATAAAACTAATGGACCGGACATTGATAAAGTGTCTTCTAATACATATGACTGTGACATTATAGAACATTGTTAAAGAATAAATAAAATTTAATTTGAAATTAAAAATACGTGGCACCCTAAAAAGATACATTTATACGTGTAATAATTTCAATAGTGGATTCGATCAAACATGGTCTAGACTTTATATCGCCAATATCAGTTATATACCCAGCTTACAGAAGAAAAGTTGTTTAGAATTTATCTATTAGTCAGAGTATCTTCAAGGTAAATAAATTATAAATAAATCATGTCAATATCATCTTGTGCAAACAGAATATTTTATCCATTTTATATTTCAACAGGTCTCGGGAAATAACACGCTAAATAGTTTCATTGAACTTAATATTATAATAATCGTTCATCAAGCCCTATATTAATTATCAATATGTATCCATATACTCCCTGTGTATTTATCTATACATTTCCGGTTTCATTCTTTAATAATCTATACAAATAAAATATTTATCTGCATTTACCCAAAATTAACTCCAGAGCAAAATGAAACATTTAATTAATCAGTTCTTTTGGGCCTACATTTTTTAGATTGTAGTCTTATTTGTTCAAGCCTTTCATGTGAAGCACTCAGATATCTTTTGTCTATTATAATAATCTTGCTTCAACTTGGTCTTGAAAATGGCTTTGTCTTTGATGTCGCTAATGATTTTTATGAGAGATATTTCCATTTCACTGTTATATTAATTTTTAACATGAAAAGATAAAGAGGAAATGAACGCATGAACTACCTACCGAGCTTGGTTGTCGGAAGAAGTTTTAGCAAATCACATTTATAAAGAGATATGTTTAGAACAGGACATTTCTGAGAGCTCTGATCATTAACGCCCTGTATGAACACGAAACTTAGAATAAAATGAATTCAAATAATATATTATTTTTTTTAAATTGCTATCACTCCACGCAAGGCAGTAAAACGACTAAGACAAAAGGGATTACAAGGTGTGGAAGAATCAGGAACGGAAACATTAATAATGATATTGCATTTAGGTTTTTGCCGATTAAATTTTGTTGGAAAGGATGGAGGCGGGAACTAGTTCCACAAGTAAGAAGTGCGAGAAAAGAAACTTAGCATAGAATTTACGGTTATATCTAGCCATCTCAACTTTAAATTTGAGTTCTTGATACCATTCTAGATAATACGTTGCATATACGATGCGCGTATATTGTGTATTAATTTAGAACGTTTAAAAAAAATCTCCCAAATTCGTTGAGAGTTAATATATGGGCGTTTTCACTCACAATGCGTGACTTATTCTAGATCAAAAGAAAATATATTTGGCCGCATATAATACTCAATGATACTAAAAATCGTAACGGTCTGACATACAAAGAAACTGAACAATCCTACAGAAGAAGAAATAAATATTTTATTGTATTTGCTGTTTACATATACTTTCACATTTTGATTTTTATATACGTGATATTTATGACATTGTCAGATTTCCTCTTCACAATCATTTCACATGAATATATTGTACTGTTTCTTACCCTTTTACGCTATTTACATTGTTCGTACTGTTATCCTCATCTTTGTTATATTTACGACGTTTCAGCAGTTGTACTTTACGCCCTACTTCAGATGATATACGTTGAAATTTCGAATTTAAGCATTTATTTCGTCCATCGTGGTATATTTTCTAGTTCCACATGTCATGCCTCTTTTGCATCTCTCAGTTTTTTCAGTTAATTCTCTTTAGTAACTCAACTTTCAAATTTATTTTTTCACATCTACTGGCAGGTATTGAACTCAGAACTCTTTGGGTTAAGATACTCTCGGATTCCTTCAACCAATGCTTTTAATAACTGGGCTATGTGAATATTACAAAGAATGACGACAACAGTCCGAACAATGTAAATAGTGTAAATAGTTACGATAACTCATCTCAGAAATATAGACATAAGTTACTTATCGTCTTAAGCTTTTTGGCTTCAGTTTCATTAGTCAATCTGCATTTATTTCTTCATGTGTAATAGACATCCTACTATCACCGTGGACCTACAATAGTATTAAAAGGAATATTAGTAGTAAGAGGATGAGACAAATATAATTGCTGACTTTGGTTTGAGTTTTACACAAGAAAAAGAGTAGAATATATAAAGATCAAAGAAGAGTGAAAAGCGGCTCTTTCTCGATCAATTTGCTAAAAACTGTCGCTTTATATTAATTAAACTTCGCTTTCTTAGGCAGTAAGGTGCGAAATCGCGACAGGACTGAATAGTCTCTGCCTTGAGTTGCTTAACTCATTCTAAAGTGGGTGCTGTAGAAGAAATGAAAGAAGATCAAAGAACACTAAGAAGATGTGAGCAAAAGATAAAAATGGCAAAAGGAAATATAAAAAGAAGTAGAAAATAAAAGTTAATTTTTGGAAGAAATAAAAGATGAAATCGATGAAAAAAAATGTCTGAAACAATATTTAGGAGGGAAAAAGTAAAAAGAACTGATTAAAATGAAAAACTGGCTAAAAAGGAAAAAGATGAAATATAAATAGAAAATATGAGGAAGGCGCTACAGTAATGGCAGAAGGTGGTGTAGGATGAGGAGAAAAATCAGGAGAAGCATAAAGAAAATAAGAATCGGAAACGGAAGTAGTGTCAGTATTAGAAAATGAACAAGAATTACCAGCAACAACGACAACAGGAGGAGAGTAAGTAGGAAGAGTAATAGCACTATTGGTGAAAAGAAATCTGAAAAAATATTTCCAGTGTAGAAATGAGTCAAATATAAAACAAAGATTAAAGAAACAACTGAATCTGCAATACTGAGATCCCGAAATCTATATAAAAGTTTTAAAATATATCGCAAAATCCAAAATAATACATGTTTTTAAACTTGGTTGTCATTTCTCCATAGAAAAGAGAATAAAGCGTAAAGATTCGAAGAAATACTTAAAATAATATAGACGAGTGCACGTCCATTACCTCCTGTGTCTATATTTTAAAATCAACTGAATTTCCTTTACTGTATATTTAATTCGTTTTTGCTCCATTTCCTTCCTAATTTGTTTGTGTATTTATTCTTTTACAGAATTCAGTTGTAGCTTATTTATTACAGGAGAATATATGACGGTGTAAAACCGTAAAAGAGACGAACAATCATTGGTGTATCTTTGTTAATCGGATTTCTGTAAATGCAAATGGCGTATACGCTTGTGGTGAGAATGAATTATTGTGTGGATTCTGAGAAAAGCAACAGAAGGCAAATTCAAAAATAGGAATTGGTAAAAAAAAAGATGTGTAAAAAGAGACCCGGATTAAATGAAGTGAAATATGAGTCTGCTTAAAAAAGCAGGATTCAGTTAAGTTTGCATTAACAGAAGGAAAGAAAATTTAAGAGCAATGTTTGAAAGGTAGACGAAGGAGCAATAAAAGGAGGATAGCAGGTAAAAACA